TTTAGTATGATCTTAATCCATAATTTCATGGGGAAAATCTTTTAAGATACTGTTTATATTAGTCTGCTCAGGCTGCTATAACAAAATACAATAGACTGGGTGGTTTAGCAACAGAAACTTATTTTCTCACAATTCTGGAGGCCAGAGGTCAGTGATTAAGGTGTTGTTAGGGTCAATTTCTGGCGAAAGCTCTCTTCTTGGCTTGTAGATATCTGACTTTTTGTGTGCTCATATGGCCTTTTCTCAGACAGAGAAAGAAAGTGATTTTCTGCTCTTTTTAAAAGGGCACTAATCCAATCAGACCAGGGTCCCCACCCTCATGACCTCATCTAACACTAATTGCTTCCCAAACACTCTATCTACAAATACTATCACATGGCAGTTAAGTCTTCAACATATGAATTTTGGGAGAACACCATTCAGTCCATAGCTATCAGTGGTCTAATTTTTGGTAGCTTGTTTATTTAATACTAGATAAATAATAGAAATTATAAATCCTCTTTACTAGAACATTTAACTACAGTATGTTACGACAGGTTGAAAATGAACAAATGAGGGATGAAGCCAGTGGATGCATGCTCTCCTTCTTTCCTCAGATACCTGTCATCCTATACATACTATGAGAAATGGCCTGAATAAGAACACCAATATCAGTGAGTAAAGGAAAAATCGTATAGTTGACTAATTTTTTCTTATTTTTAAGAGAAAAATATGTCACCAGAGGTTTTAGTATATCTTTTTATACTCTCTTGCACATCACTCTTCCACGTAACCACATTTCAAAAATTTCATGAGGACCAACATTTCGTCGGCTAGCAAGTCTTTTGGACAGTATCTACCTTAACCAGGTGAATTAAACACAGAATTAAAGTACACGGGCTTTGTCTGATTCATCAGAAAATACAATCTTTATTTCACTTGAACAAAAAAAGACCATAGTGTTTGGCTTCCTGCCCATATTGCTCAGCCACATAAAAGATCTACAGTAAACTAGTCTGAGCATATTTAGCATCTAGCATGCTTAGAATTTCATTCAACACTCGTTTGAATGTTCAAAAAACATTTATTGAGCATGCATTGTGCACCCCATACTGTTCTTGTCACTTGGGCAAGAACAGTGAACTAAACATAGAGCATATATTCTAGTGAAGGGAAATAGAAAAAAATGTAGATTTGTAAATTATGTGGAATGTTAGAAGAGGTAAGTGCTATAAAAAAATAAAAAGAAAAGCAGGATAAGAGGGAGTGAGGGTGTGTGGAGTTGGGGTGGGTTGCAATTTTAAGTAGAGGGATCAGGGTAGATCTCATTGTGAAAGTGCGAATTGAGTGAATATTTGAGAAGAGAGAGAGTTAGCCCTGGTACTAGGACATTCTGATCAGAGGGAACAGCATTGTAAAGACCTAAGGCAGGAGTGTACCTGGTATATTTGACCATTAATTTTAGGGCCAGTGTATTTAGAGGGGAGAGAGATAGAGGAGGAGAGAGAGAAAGAGGGATATGAAGATATAAAGTCAGAGAGGTACCAAGTACCAAGAATACAGATTATGTGGGACCTTCCATGTAATTACTCTGGCTTTTACTCTTACTCTGAGTGAAATGGGGAGCCAGAGCAGGCTTTTGAGGAGAGGAACATAATGTCACTTTGTTTTAAAAGGATCAGCCCAGCTGCCATGTTGAGGCCAGAGAGCAGAAGGCAAAGACGTATGTGAGGAGACTAGGAAGGAAGAGCCTATTGCAGGAATCCAGGTGAGGGCTGATGGTGGCTTGGACCAGGTGAGGAGCTGTGGTAGTGAGACATGGTCAGATTTGGGATATATTTTTAAGTTAGAGCAAATGCTACTTTATGATAGATTTGAAAAAAAAAAAATAGTCAAGAATGACTCCATGATTTTTGGTCTGAGCCACTGGAAGGATGGAGTTGGCATCAACTGAGATGGGAAGGCTGCAGGTAGACCCAGTTTTGTAAGAAAGAGCCAAATTTCAGCTTCAGAAATGCTAACTCCGAAGTGCCCATCAAGAATGGATTTTTAGATATGTGAATCTGGAGTTCCAAAGAAAAACCTGAGCTGGAAATAGCAGAAATAGTTGACACAGAGAGCACCCACTGTGTGCCAGGCACCATACTAGGTGATAGAAATGCACACCAAATCAGATGGCCTCAAGATGGAGCACAAAGTCTCCCAAACTATGTTCTCTGAGCATAGCTCTGGATAGGTTAATGAGTGCTCTAAGGGGGAAAATAAAGGGCCTATGGTCAAAAAACTTGGGAGATGTTGTTGCTTACCCTTTGGATTCATAATACAAATTAAAATTTTAAAGCCTCTGAGAAATTCTACAGTAAAAACATTGTTTAAGTGTATGTAATCCAGATTTTTCCAAATGCATTTGACCTTTGTACTTTTTTGTCACTTTTTAGGCATGTGTATTACATTCTGAAGAATATTAAATTTAGAAATGCTAAACTGGCATAATCAATAATGCAAATAACTGATTATAATGCAATGTAAAGAGTGTTTTAATTGAGATGTTCTCCAAGTTTTATGGGAAAACAAAAATGGAATATTTTTCTTCTTGGACAGGCCGTGCATGGAAAGCTTTGATCCATATTTGTTGAACCCCCAAACAGACTCATACCTTATGGATGAGGTCAGAATACAGCCTTGATAATTATAAGTCCTGATTCACTGTGTGAGTCAGAGTAAGTTACTTTTCTGTTTCTCTTTCTGGAAAATTAAGAGCGATGTTGGCCTACTCAATAAAAAGTATCATAAAAAGTAATCTGTTTTGCAAGTACTGTATTTGATTAAATGACATTTAGTTCTTGGGGAATATAATTGTTAAAAGTTGTCTGTCAGTTGTTCGTTAACAAATACCCTTTACTTAGTCTAATTCCCCTGAATTCATGTCTTTAATTAGCACCCAAAATGAATTAATTAGAGGACAAAGATTGGGAGAATTCATGGCAACTTAGGTTAATTTGATCAGAGAATAGTATTAGTTTGAAAGATTTTGGAGGACTCTGTTTTGAAGCACTCGGACTGTATGGCATGCCTCCCAAGTGGGTTGTAATTAGTTTTGTCTCCTTGCTGTGAACATGTGGGGTAAGCACAGAGGAGGACTGTACTGACTTCCTCATAAACACTCTCACCCACCAACTCAGTAAGGGATTCTACAAGACTTTGATGAATTCTTCATTGCTAGATGATGTGCTGATTTTGTGTGTGTGATTTTATTTTTATTTTTATTTTTACTAAAGTACAGTTGGCATACAATATTTTTAAACAATGATTTCCTAAGAAGTATAACTTAGTTACCTAACATAACAGAGTTTCCAGTTGTGACTGAAAGTGTGGAATGGAATGGGAGAAATGAGATGATGAAAACCACATTTGAGCAATTAATGATTAGATTTGCACCAGCTACCATCCGCTTCCATTTTAAACGTGCTCCCAAAGATAGCTGTTTTTCAATCTGTTTTATCTCCATTTTCTTTTTACCCAAATCTTGCTCCTTGTTTCTAGTGTTGAGAAATGCTGATAACCATGTCCTCTAATATGTAGATTTACCCCGTCAGTTCAAAATCAGAGATACTAGATTGAACACCTTTGTTTTATTTTTTTATCTGATTTAATATTAAATTGTGATTTTTAAAAGCATTGCTTATATTCCTTCATTTTCGTCTGATATGATATTACTTTTTCTGTTTCCTATGCAGTACTTGGTCTGCCTATCTTTATGGCTCCTATAATTTTGGAACACTTCTAGTTTTCTCACAAGAATGGGAATGTATGTTACAGCTCTTAAATACATCTTGAAACTTGAGAAATTGAGAAACGATATGTAGGCAATTGAATTGTAACTCCAATGGCCAGTTTATTCTGTTAATATTATTCTGATTACATAATTTCTAAAGCAGTCTCAGGAGGGAAAAATGAGATATTGGCAGCAGAAAATGTCATGGGATGTTCATAATGGAAACTAGCAACTGTCTTCAAGGGAAGTTGGTGCATGAATGTATATTTGGAAGAATGATCAAACTGCCTGGTCATTGGAAGTACCAAGAATTGATTTATCCAATAGTTATTGTTCTAAACTAGCCCAATGGACTTACTTTTGAGTTTACCAATAATTTTCTCTTGGTTTAAACACCTAACTCAAGGAATCTATAATTGAACTAATCTCTGCCACCATCTCCCATTTCCTCATCCCACTTTTCAAGTGTTTCTTTTCTTGAATGAAACCAACATCCATTTGGCAGTGTAAGACCAAAGCTAGAAATCATTCTTGATACCTCACTAAACTTCCCCTCCAATCCTAGTAGGAATACTTATTGATTTTACCCTCTAAATATCTCTCAGTACACTATTTCTCTGCTCTGTTGTTACTACTGTCCTAGACCAAGTTATATCATTTAAAGAACTGGAGTTTAACATAGTTCATTAGGGAGAGTATACATAGAAATGTGCTTGTGTGTGTATGTGTGTGTATGTGTATGCACGTGTGTATAAAGTAAATACAAATCTGATTATTATCCTATAGGGCAATATAACTATAACTTTTTGGGGCATCTCTTCCACTAAAGTTATTTAGATTTCTACCTGACACAAATTTACAAGTTAACACATAACTTCACAGTGTCTGGGCTCTATAGTAAATAGAAATATCAACAGAGGTATGTTTTACTAAAAAATTAAATAACCCCTAGTGAGCCAGAGGAACAATGTTTCATTATGGCATTGAACGAGTTTGCAATCATCCACTTGGCCTTGTTGACAAATCGGGATACATTTTCTTAACCAGTTGCTTTAATCCATCTTCCTAATGTACGGAAACTGCATCAGCAACCCAATACCTCTTTTGTACACAGACTTTGATTAGGAGTTCAGGTATGCCTCAGCAACGTGATGCTTTTGTCAGGATGGCCAGCAAACAACCTGCCCTGCACAATGCAGATGCTGGAGATTGTTCCAGTCCGGCCCCATATATATATATTTTTTAATGCCTACAGTACCTAGTCTTCCTAGATGGTCTCCCATCCAAGTACTAACCAGGTCCAACCCTACTTAGCTTCCAAGATCGGACGGGATTGGATGTGTTCAGGATGGTATGGCTGTAGACCAGCCCTCATTTTAAAAATGAGGAAATTGAGGCCCAGAGAGCCAAAGTGACTTACGTGGCATGCCTTTTCCTGCTTTGTCTTTCAAGGCTCAACTCAAAAGTTATCTTCTTTCTAATACCCAAACTCTACACACCTGATAGAAGATATGTCTACCTTGCCATTGTGATCTCCTAGTATTTTATTCGTTATCTTTATTAGAGCATATAACATATTGTTTGATACTTATTTGTTTGTTTGCTTATCTCCCTGGCTAGGCTTTGGGTTATTATAACATATGAATAGTATCATATTCACCTTTGTATGTTAGTGTTGAACTCTGTGCCTGAGATATAATAAATTCTGGATAATGTTTATTGACCTGCATCGAAATTGCCTGAGATCCAACAAACGTAGTGGCAGAGTTGGAAGCAGGACTCACTTCATTTAAATCTTAGACCACAACTCTTTCTGAGACATTTCAGTGACCTTCAAAACTACACCACTGTATTATCATAAGTGATAGCCTCATATCATGTGTGACATGTATAACAAATGGTATATGCAGGAGTTCAAACACATGAAATCTTTCCTTCTTAGACTTCCCTTTTGCTATAGTACTCAGGCAAGTAGCCAAAAAAAACCCCAAAAAACAAACAAACCAAAAAAAACAAGTGACAGGAAAGACCCTTCCCCACTTCTTCCTTTCTTCATTCAAGAATAACTACTTTGAATTTCATCATTCAAAGATACTTCTTGCAACAATTTGGTGTACATCCTTCCAGACATTTTTCTGCACATATATATCTGAATATACATATATAACTTATTTGACCAAATTGTGATCATATTGTCTACACCTTTTATAATCTGTATTTTTTAGTTACCAATATAGTATGAATTTTCTGCTCCATCAATAAACATATTTATATATAAAATTTATAATAATTACATATCATATCATTGTCTTGAGGACCATAATTTATCCAGCCATTAAAAAAATACCGTTGACCACTGCAGTTGTTTCTAATCCATTGTAATTATAAGCAGTCCCAAGATAAATATTGTTGAGGCTAGACCTGGACACCTATTTATTATATAGGTTTTTTTTTTTTTCTATTTACAGAATTTAAATTCTGTATTGGTGGTAATTTTCTGAACCTTCCTTCTTGCTTCAGTTCTTTCTACCTCAGTGTCTCACTGTTTTCTTTCTCTGAGTTCCTTGAGCCACTAACGTGCCTTTCCTTACCTCCTTTCCCCCCATTTGCTAGTTCTCTTGTTTGAGAAGTGATAACACCAAAATGAGTAAGGAGAATAGAGTCTCTGGTCCACCATTGTTCTTCCGTCCTTTCTTACCTATTTCTTTCGTATTCTCTTCACCTCCTTGCCTTTTCTTCAGTTTAATTTGGGGCTACCCTTTCCAGGTGGCTAGTCACCTGGATAACCAGCTAAGCAATGTGGTAATCATGGCCAGTGGACAGGCCACAACAGGGCTATTGATCACTGTCAAGATGTTTCTCCCATGATGTCATCTGTGCTTCTGAAAGAAAAGAAAGAAAAGAAAAAAGCTACATAATCCAAAATTGCATAAAGAAGAGCCATATGCTTTTAACTATTAATGAATCATTGAAGATTATTATTTCAACAACCTTTCTGGGACCGAAATGTTTTCCATGTGTTTGCCTAAGTCGTGTTGGTAGCACCATCTGGAATAGCTGTTTGGCGTCTCTGGCTACATGTCTTTTCTAACTCTTCTCTAACATCTCCAGAAACCATTCATATCCTGAAATGTTTATTATTATTATTTTTTGAGTTTTAATTAAAACTGTGGCAGCTGAAGACACAGTTGGTGGGAGAGGCGATGTGATGAAAGCTGGGACTTGTCTGGACATGATTGCAAAGTTGCCCTCTTACCTTCCTTTCTCTTCTTTTGGTTCTTTGTCTTGCCTAAGACCATTTTCCATTCCGAAGGTATTGATCTTATATCAGGTATAGGAATGGCAATGTCGAATTAATGTAGCTGTGAAAATTTGTAACTGAGAAAATGGTGGGAGTAGGGGAAGGTGGGGAAACCATCCCGTGCAGTAGTTTCTTCATACATATTTTAGTAAACTGCAAGACAGTGGTTTTCACCGCTTTTACATTCTGCTGACCTTACTTGAAAGATGAAGGTGTGTGTGTGTCCGTGTGTGTGTGTGTGTGTGTGTGTGTGTGTGTGTGTGAACATGTCACAAGATGCAGTGATAAGATTTTGACTTAGCGTTAGCTGAAGCCCCACAACAATAGGTGTCGACTCTCCCATGTTCCAAAGTCAGATGTTCTATCAGCCTGCTAAGCTTTCATTTAATTAAATACTTATTTAGAGACCTTAGCTGACCACCCACTCTTGATCTATAAGAGGGTTAGGAGGATGCAAAAGAAGGTGGGGATTAGGTCGAGGATTTCTTTGGTGGGGGATATGCTCTGGGTCCCATGTACCCCTCATGGAGGAGGGATGGAGATGCTTCTCTCTTTCTTAGTAGACTGGCCTTCGAGAGGCCACTGGAGCCTTTGATATGTGACCCGTCAAGTCTGGGAGATGGTGTCTGACCGCAGTAGAGAAATCTGCGGGGCTTAAGTCTGGCTGACATAGTCTGTACTGCAGAGCCAAAGGGAGGGCTGCAATTAATCACTGAAATCTGCATGGTGAGAGAGAGTGTGGAGAAGCCAGGCAGCGAAGATGCTACACTGTTGTGCCAGGGACCCACTGGTGGTGAAGTGCTTCTGCCCAAACTCCAGCAAAGCACACCACGCAGGGACATCTCCCACAGCCAGAAAACATGACCATAAGATCAGTATCAGTGAAGTAAGAATTTTCTGCTCTTTACCTCTCCCTCTTCCCACCCTGCACCCAAAGGGATAGAGGAAGCTCAGTGGGTGGAGGGTTGGAGGAAACTGTAAGGGAAGGAAATAAAGAAGGCAATCATACATACCTCTCTTCCTCACTGTGAGCTTCCTGCCTGAATTAGGCCAGGCCTGGTAAAGAGGGCAGCTCAAATCCTAAGTGAAGTTTAGAGTTTGATTATTACCTTGGACTGGAGACACTAAATACTGAAATGAGATAGACTGAGAGATTAAAGTGAACAATGGTGGTTTTATTACCTAAGGATGGGCAGATAAGCCTCAATGCCTACTGGAGATTATTTCTAGTGCAGGGGAAGAATCAGTCACCAAGTAGGTTTAATCAGGCAATGGGATAATCCAAGTCAAAGTGATTTGATAATGAGAGTATTAATCTTTCAACCTAAGTTACACTACTTATTCAAAAATAAACTTAAATTGATAAAAAATGCTTAATTTTAATTACAAGAGGGCCATAATTTCTATACTTACAATATAACTCTGCTCTAGAGTCAAAGAATTCTACAATTTATAATAAATATAATAAATCTTGCCAAAATATCATTTTAAGGATAACACTTTATAAAAATAAGATACTGGTTTTTATTGCTGGAAAAACTCTTTCAGTATTAAATTAGAGTATACCTACCCCTGAGTGGCAAACTTACTGTGAAGGCCTATCTTGAGCTTTTATTATCAGAATGTTCTTTCCCTCTGTGAGCAAAGGGTCCAAAGCAATTATTCTTGTATGAGGCAGTTGATCAGGTAATTACTGTTGCATGACAATCTCAATGACACAAGATAGCAATCTTTTATTATCACTTTTGCAACTGAGGTCAGCCAGCGGTCAGTGGATCTAGCCTTGGCTTAACTGGGCAGCTTGCTCATCTGCACTGGGCTGGCCCATGTATCTGTGAGTTGGTGATGAGTCAGTTCATCCCAGCTGGGCTTGGCTGGCTATCTCTGCTCCTCAGTGCAGAGTAGGTCTTGGGGAGCAGGAACAGCTCTGTTCTGTGGTCCCGTCCTCCTCCTGGGACCAGTGAGCTTGCCAGGGTGTGTTGTTCCCATGGCGAGAGCAAAGGCACAAGAGGACAGTGGAAATGTCTGAGGCCTCTTAATACTTACCTAGGTTTGAAGCTGGCATATTGTCACTCTGGGCATGTGCCACTTGGCCAGAGCAAGTCCCATGTCTGAGTCCAAAGTTAAGGCGTAGAAATATATGCTTCATCCATAATGGGGCATAGCAAGGGTACAGAGGCAGGAAATGATAAAGAATTGGAGTCCCAAGTACAATCTACCATAGACAGATCCCTGAGAAATGATGAAGGTCCAGGACTAAACACTGCATATGGGAGGCAAGTGGATACCTATTGTTTCTGCATTGTTTGTACCTCTAGTCTGGATCTATCTGGGGGACAGTATGTCCGGAAAGAAGAGAGGGAGAGAGGTGTTGTGGTAAGTCTGTCCATGGAGTGAAAGTTTCAATGATGTTTTTTTTTTTGTCATTTCAGAAGGGACCAGCTTTGTAATTCTAGTCAACATGCCTTAACGTTTACTATTTTGAAAGTATTTGTCCCCTTAGTGTGATTATTAGAAACTCTCTAATAATAGTCTAGGAGTTTATCTGGTGGTAAGTTGTGAGTGGGGAGCTGAGGAAACTGTATCCCACCCTTGAATCAATCTTCAGAGAAAAAGAACCTCAGAAAATCGAGTGAATGGAGGCAAGAATAGCTGGCTGAGCCCTGGGGCCCACTCCAGGGAAGCTAAGAAGGGAAGCTGTTATTTACTGAATACCTACTACATTCCAGGAACAGCATGTTTTTTTTGCATGCAACAGATATTTTTGTGAAGCATCTGATTTCATCTTCACCGAAAGAATTTGATATGGTAGTCATTAAAACCCCCATTTAGTAAATGTGAGAACTGATACAAAAAGGAGTGAGTAACCTTTCCAAGGTCACACAACTTGGGTTGGGCTGAGGTAGATGGACGAGGGGATCTATGTTGCATCCATCACTGCAACTCAAACCTGAGGCGAGGCATCCATTGTAGAAAGGGTTTCTCCATGTCTCCAGAGCTTCAAGCTTACACACTTACACTACTTTTCACACTCTTACTGAGACCCAGGAGAGTGCCCAGCGGG